ATTTACTCCCAACCAACCAACCGCCGGTAAAGAAGTTTCACTTCAAAAACCGTTCAAAACGCAACCGGTTAAAAACTAGAAGCAAAGTAATGCACTGCGCGGCATTTGCAACGGCCAATGATACCGCCGTGTAAAACTGGCCAGTTGAAAGCATTGCTAGTTCTACGCTAGTTCTGAGCTAGTCAGATTTTCTGCAGGGAATACAAGCATTGTTGGTTTACCCAAACCACAAGCATGGATAGATATACATACACACTATGCCATAGAAAGAAATGTCAACCAGGAAACAGCATCGTCAGCGGATCATGGCAAAGCAACAGCTCAATGTCAGTAAACAACCAAGCATAGAGCTCAATGCAACGGAGAGTAAAGCGGGTTAGATTAAAACGAACGCACATTTGTAATACATATATACAAACAAATATTTGTAGTCGTTTAGTTTTAGTGTATACTGTAACGAGAGGAACTGCTTAGGAACACAAGGAAATTGCTTATAAGTCTCCGCTTCCTGCCAACGCACATAGCCTTATTTGCACTCGTAAATAGGTATGAGCGAGGGCTTGTAAATATGTTTGTGCTGTCAATTGATCGATTGTATCCAATGGCAGTAGACAAGCAACCAGCCAGTAAGGATAACTTAAAAAAAAATGCAGATGAAATGGGAGAAGAGATACTAAATATTTATGCTATTTGTTTAATTTAAAATATCCGTGCACTTTTTTAGCAGCTTTACAAAATAAATTTTATGACTAATTTTTTGCTTTTCAAGCATTAGCAATTAGGCATTTAAGATAGGTTGGTACTGAAAATAATACAGTACTGGTACAAATATCGATCGGAATAACATAAATATTTTTCAATAAAAATAAACACCAACAACAATGGAAGGCTTTTAATGTAGGCTACCAACTCCAAGGGCATTTTGGACTGGTAAATATTACTAACTACGATCTTTTGTTTTAATGCGCTTACCGTACATTTGAATCACTTGATGATTGACAACAATTTTTTTAGCACACAATCGAATATTCGCTACTTAGCTACTTATTTATATACATATGCATGTAGTTAGTTGCTAATGAGAATTTAGTGTTGGTATTGCTAGCATTTTCTGCAAAGTTTACAATTTCATTTTAGTTAGTTACTAACCAGCTTATCACTTTTGAGGTGAAACGCCGGTATATGCCGAAAATGGGCACATCCGGCGAAAGCAGGTAATAAGTAGCAACCACTCATCCATCCAGCCTTGTTACTAAGATTACTTGTAATTGAAAATGTGTCATGGCAGCAAAGTCGATGCGTAAAGTGTGATTGACTTTTAATTAGTTTGCTTAGAGATATGGTATGAACTTTGTTGTGTTATATGCATTTGCAAAGTTTTTGTATAGACCGCAACCATAACCTTAATATTATGCGTGACTTAACGGAAATATCAGCAAAATTACACCTACAAGCCATGGAAGGCAATTTTGCCCGAAATCTGCGCGTGGCAAGAAATTATCTAAGTAAGTTGCTACTTATGAAGTTCTTAGTTGTTTCTCTTGCCGAAAATTTTGAAATAAGATGCAATCATTTTGCTTAATAAAGCAGTTGATAGTGGCCTGAAATTTGAGAAAGTGTGAGAATTTGATACCATTTAAACTTATAAATAAGCTGAAAGAGTTCGAGCCAGTGTAAAGGGGTATTTACCAAAAACTTATGTGCAAATCTTGACGAGAGGGCAAACTAAATAAAGGCTGGCTTGGAATGTAACTTGGACTGATGGTGGCTTTGAATATAGAGTATAATATTAGTATTAGAGAAGTTGCTTATTGCGTACATGATTTTTCCCCTGCTGACAATCGAATCCAACACTCTACTCTTTATGGGTTCGGAAGAGGTTGGATCTGAAGTGCAGCCCGAGAAGTGAGTTTTGACTAGTACGTATCTCCAAGGAGTTTTTGGCTGAGCTTGTCCACACACCATCATAAGGCTTAAAAACATATGCCACTATTCTGTAAGAAGGGCCTTTATAAGTTCCGAGTTGCGTTGCATTTGCAGAGTACCCAGGATATTTCGATGGCTGAGTGGAAGATCGACTTATCTCGGCAGCCAGTTCGAAAACGCTCTTTCTCAAAAAACTTTTCAAGAACGCCCTACTTCAGAATTTAATTGAAAAACACCCGAACTGGCTGCCTAGATAGGTCGATCTTTCCTCGGCCATCGATATACTCGTGACGTGAGTATAAATAAGGCTCTGGAACCCAGGTTTGTGGTTCAGGGAGTTGCCACAGCGATGACCCTGACAAGTTCCTGTGGAAATTATTTCGCTTAAACATCCAGAAGTTCAGTCCTGGCTGATCGACGTCAGGGTGGGCAGCTGTATCTGAACAGTCAGCCCTGATGGAGTGACAAACGTGGTCCTGGAGGATATGGACAAGTTAAAGTCCGCCTTGCACGAGGTGGGTCGTTGCTACATCAAGTGGTTCTCCTTCCGGGTACGGCCGGAAATCCTGATGCCAGGCTGGTTCTGGTGTGTTGAGTTTCGACCATCGTGTGTTTGACTTTAGAGTTAACCAAGACGTCTTTCGACGCTGCGGGCCGGAAGGGCACCACTTGGCAAGTTTCCGGACTGTCGTAACTACGCCTTTTGGGGAACACCGGCCGGTCCTCTTATGATGTTGGCAAACAGTCCCATCTATAGCGCCATTGTGACACAAACGCGCGCCAGACCTTAATGGCGAGCTGGGATCCTATGAATTGCATGGCTATGGATTCCTCGACATAGTGGGTGTGTTAAGGGGGTTTTCGGCAGAGTGTTGGCCACCAGCCTGTGCTGCGGGTTTGGTGAGCCTCCAGAGCCCTATCTGGGATAACTGGATTCAGTGCTACTACTACCGAGTATCAGCCTGATTATCTTGGTATGAACGTTAGTGATATGTATTTAAGGTAGTAAATGTCATGTGAATAGAGTGTTTTGTGCATATCCAAACCTAGGTCAGCAGTCCTCAGCATTGGTAGCTGCGGTTAGGAGGTCTGACCGAAGACTTAATTCTGGTACCATGACCTGTTCGTGTGGCAAGGTCCTTTGGAGAGTATCGTGGTGGGTGTGGCTTAAAACCCAAATGAAGGTAGAGCGGACTTTTGTTGGCACGATGTGGAGTTGCATTGCAACCGGGAGCTGGACCCAAAGTAGGGCAGAGGTTTAGATAGGTCTCGAATCCTACCAAGGTGTTAAGGGAGTTTCACTCCGTCTTTTAAAATTGGGACTGAAGTGTTTGCATTTGAGGCATTTTGGCCCATGCTTTTATTTGATCCGCTGTGCTTTTGAACGCCGTGTGGTTAGGCCGACGTCGGTCATTGACGATCTGAGCAAATAATCTCAGCCTCATAGCGGTCTTTACCAGGTGCTTTGCAATAAAATATTGCGTTGTTACACTATATGTTTATGCAATTGGGTCTTCATAATTTCGGCATTTCTAAAACTCAAATCGCATCTGTACGAACTAATTAGGTACTGGTAATACAACTACTAAAATTATTTAAATTTTGAGTGATCTGCTTTCCCAACACAGCTCGAATGCAGACAAATTATGGGAGACATTTATGCCATAAAATGCGATGGAATTTAATAGTGAGTATTCTGCCTTTCTTTGAAAAAATTAAATATTATGAAATCGTTTAATACCTGCTTACCATTATTCTAAGTATTCGCACCTCTGCAGTGATAAAGGCGATAATCAAATATTAATACGCAAAGTAGCAGCAAGGTTAGCACATATTAAATATTCCACTTTAAGCTCATACGAAATACAAACCTACACTTCGCCAGCAATCCACAACATTACTCAGTCCCGTAGATGCAATAAGAGTACACACACATTTACACGTATATATGTATGTATAACAACCTGCACTGTTCACATATGCTTTTCTATAGTATGTAACTATTAATGGATAAGAACAACCGACACTTGCATATACACACAAATGCAAATATGTGTTGCGGTGTGCCAACTTGCTTACTCGGTGCTACTGAGCGTATAAGTAATTTCCATTTGAAAGCGAAGAGCATGAAATGCAACACATTACGGTGGCTCATATTCATTAAAGTCAAACGCGTACGCATGTGCTTATGTACTACGTGTATACCTATGTTTATATGTATGTGCGTGTAAACATACATGTATACCCACAAAAGCATTGCTACTTTCCTGAGCACTTACCTATATCCCAGCCGCTATCATTCATCATGTACTCCTTTTCGGCAATGATATACCAAATGCACGCCAACCAGTGCGCCACCAGCGAGAAGCAAAGCATTAGCAATGTCAATATCATAGCGGTGTATTGTGAGTATCGATCCATTTTTTGCAACAATCGCGCCAGCCGCAACAAGCGTGTCAATTTCACCAAATGAATGTGTGATTCCTATGGGAAGAAAAAGATGTGCGAAAAAATTTTAGGAAAAAAAATGAGTCTATCTATGCATATGCGCTGTGTGCTGAGGGAAGTGGCGCAAATTTCTGAAGGAAAAAATATTTATTTTTTGCGGAAAAAAACGGCGGAAGAAACAAAGAAAGGTGTTACAAAAAATCNGAAGAAAAAATGTTAGAAAAAAAAATGAGTCTATGCATATGCGCTGTGTGCTGAGGGAAGTGGCGCAAATTTCTGAAGGAAAAAATATTTATTTTTTGCGGAAAAAAACGGCGGAAGAAACAAAGAAAGGTGTTACAAAAAATCAGCAAGTCAATAGACGTTGTTGATTGAAGTGAGTATTGCAGGAGTTTTTTGTCACATCAAGTCGCGCTATTGAGATATGCCACATTTGACAAATGATGAGAAGGAAGTAGAAATGTACTTCTAAATCCAAAACTGGCCATTAAATTTGGTGAATTTAAAAGCTGAACATAAATTTATGGTAATGAAAACTGACGATACATTTTTATTCATTAAAAAATTTACGATAACTTTATGATGTTATAAAAATTGTACTATAATTTTTGTTAAGTTAAAAACTGATCGTGTAAAATTTAGATAAGANATACAAAAAATCCACAAGTCAATAGACGTTGATTGAAGTGAGTATTGCAGGAGGTTTTTTTTCACATCAAGTCGCGCGATTGAGATATGCCACATTTGACAAATGATGAGAAGGAAGTAGAAATGTACTTCTAAATCCAAAACTGGCCATTAAATTTGGTGACTTTAAAAGCTGGACATAAATTTGTGGTAATGAAAACTGGCGATACATTTTTATTCATTAAAAAATTGACGATAACTTTATGATGTTATAAAAATTGGACTATAATTTTTGTTAAGTTAAAAACTGATCGTGTAAAATTTAGATAAGAAAGGACGTGAAAAGGTAGATATCGAATTTCTAATCTATGACCATGATTTTATGGACATAGATTTTTGGTCATTTAAAATTTCGTAAAATTAGTGATAGTTTAAAATTGGACATTAAATTTGGTCCATTTAAAAACTGACCATAAATTTATGGTAATATGAAAACTGGAAACTAATTTTTGGTAGTTGGCATAATGTTTTGGTAAAGTTAAAACTGGATACACATTGTTATTCATTAAAAAAAAACTTACGTATTATTTATGGCCGTGTAAATTGGATATGCTATTTTAATAACATAAAAGTTGACATCAATTTTAGACCATTTGAAAACTTCTTAAATTTATGGTAATAAACTAACTGGAATCTAATTTTTGGCCACTTAAAAAATGTATAGCAATGGGTTGTCTTTTAAAACAGTGACATAGCTTCTATTCCTCAAAAATCTAACTTTATATTTATGGTAATATTAGCTGGACATAATTTTTTATTATTGCAAAACTTGAAAAAGAATTATGTCCATTTAAAAGCTGGCCATTATGTAACTTTTCAACCTTTTGTCTATTGAAAAGTTGGGAATGAATTTTGTTAGTTTTAAATCTGGGCACTATTTTTCTGTTATTGGAAAAGTAAACATAAACTGGTGTTTTTTTGCTTGTGAATTGATCATATGTAAATATATAGTAACGTAAACTGGGCATAATTTTTAAGCAAAGCAAAAATTAAAAAAAAAAGTTTTGTATATTTAAAAACTGATCCTAAATTTATGCTAATGTAAAACTGGACACTCATTTTTGGTTATTTGACAACTGGTCAAGCAAAATATAGGTACAAAAAAGGATGCCATAAGGTAGAGATCGAATTTTTTTTTAAATACAGTTTAAAGAAAACTTAACAGTAAAAACATACGTATGTATGTACCTTTTTTTAATCTTTTTTTCGAATTTAATATCAACTTCGCAATCGAAAAATTATCGCCAGGTTTAAAATTACCAAGAATTTATAACCAGATTTTTGGTCATTATTAAAATTACCAAAAACTTATGTCCAATTTTTAATTATAAAAATATTTATGTCCAGATTTACCTACAAGCCTTTATACAAATCAGCATTATTTAATTCGAAAGACTGTCGAATAACTTGTGGACCTAGGGAAAAATCAATAGTTGCAAATTTAATATATTCGCTTCTGTACACCAACCACGTATTTTTCATGGCCCAGTGAAATGAATGTATTGGCAAATAATATCGAAAGGGCAATCGATTCGAATAAGGAAGATGTTTGTGCTTCTTTAGGCCTTGAAATTGTCTAGAGCAGTGCTCGTCAAACTTTTGAGTGTGACGGACCGGCTGCAGT